ATAAAAGCGAGAGGTAAAAATCGCCGCTGGCCAGATTGTGCGTGCTTCTCCTCCTCCCACCTTTTTGTGAGGAGGCATTGAAGAGGTAGGTGAAAATTAGCAAGCATTTCCCTGCCCGAGTGAGAACGACGTCAATGCTTATTCTACTAGGAGAGCCACTGCATCCTTGTTTGCTCAGAGAACCAATAGTCCATCCCAATTCTAGTCTCGGTCAGCCTCGGTTCCTGGTCCCATGTGAAGTGTGCAGAGACAGAGTGGGCACTCGTGGGATGTCTGTATTTGTGATGTTTACACATAGAACGACACTGAGGAACACGGGGTTTGGGTCAGGCTGCCGAGGTCCAATCCTGGCTCTGTGGCTTAATCCCATCGTGACCATAAGCTTATTCCTTGACTGCCTATCAAATGGCGATGAACTGTGCACCTGTTTTATGAGGTTATTATAAGGTTGATCCACATAAAATTGAAGTGTTTTGTTTTTTAAATACATTATTGACTTTTTACAGAGAGGAAGGAAGAGAGATAGTTGGAAACATCAATGAGAGAGTCATCCATCAGCTGCCTCCTGCATGCCCTCCACTGGGGATGTGCCTGCAACCAAGGCACATCCCCTTGACCAAAATCCAACCTGGGACCCTTTAGTCCTCAGGGTGATGCTCTATCCGCCCGGCACATGTGTCAAACACAAGGCCCTCGGGCCAAATCCGTCCCGCCAGGCCTTGCAATGTGGCCCGCACCGCGCTGTCATCACTGCACTCCGCTGCGTTTCCATCACAATGACAGTTTATGATTGTTCAGTAAACCATTCGGCCCGTGATTTAGGCTGGATTTTAGATTTTGGCCCCTTCTCTGATTGAGTTCGACACCCCTACAAGTCTATCGACTGAGCCAAACCGGATTCGGCCTGGTCAAGGGCGTTTTAAAAAAAATATCCTTTCTTCCCAATTCACTATTGAATTGGCTGTTATAGTTATAATATCCATGAACTGACTTAGTTTGCTTCATGCATGGAAAAACAAATACAAACATTGCTATCTGTTTTGTGATATAAATCATCACAAATTAATAGAAAGAATGAGTTTTTCGTTTTTAATTCATCTATTATGTACTTTGTGTTAGAGAATGATTTATCCATTGCTTCCCTTTTAACCATTATCATCAGTGAATGCCTAGTCACAGAGATGAGACTGTTGGTCAAGGGACACCCTGGGCTCCGGCCTTCTGCCAACCCACCTCCAGCACACTACCCGGGCCCGGGACACCACCCAGGGCCCCCACCAGCCACCAACCCATCTCCAGCATCCCAGCCCGGGCCCGGGACACCACCTTGGGCCCCAGCCAGCTGCCAACCCGCCTCCAGCAGCCCATCCCGGCCCGTGACACCACCCTGGGCCGCCGCCCGCTGCAAAAGCGGCCTGCAGCAGCCCAGCACGGGCCCGGACACTACCCTGGGCCGCCAGCCACCAGCAGCAAAACCCGCCTATAGATTTCTTAGCAAAGGGGTTATCTTTGCCCTGAGTGAGGCCTGTGCATTGGTGTTTTTTTTAATTGAATTAGTTGGGATAACATTGGTTAACATAAGTTTCAGGTGTACATCATTATAATAATCATCTGTGTACTCAACTTGAAGTTTAATCTCTTCCCATTACCATATAGTTGACACGTTTGGCCTCTTCATCCTCTCATTGTTGCAGCAAACTGGAGAAGAACCAAGCAGTACTTGGAGAGATGGAGTTACATTTATTACACGCGGGTCCAGAGGAAAATGTCTCTCCAATTCTGGGCCCCAACATGGAGGAATTTTACCTTCTTCGTCTCCCAAATATGGGGTGTTTCTGGCCCCTTTTGCAAGTTCTTAAAGAGCCCCTACATGCTGGGGCCTTGAGACCTCAACCAAGGGCCTGGCCTGGCGCCAGCACTGATCATTTTGTCAGAGGAAGGTTGAATGGCCTCTCTGAAGTGAAGCAGTCATATTTTCCTTATTATTTAAGCAAGCAAGCATTTACAGAAGCCAAATAGAGTAAACATTTCCAACGGCAGTTTTTATATAAGATGGATGCTTCAACACCACTGCCTTCCCCTCTGGTAGCTGCCAGACTGCTGTCTGTCTGTGTTCATTTGTTGCTGACCCAGGGCACACTGAGGGGTTGGTTAGTACATGGTTTGCATATACCCTATTCCATACAAAATTCAGGAACACATATGATCCCAAAGAATTTGAAAAAGGATTGTATACCTGCACTTAATCTTTAAATCAGTATTTTTGAAATTGATGCCATTATCGGCTTCATTTATTTTTTATTTTTGTTAATTTCAGAGAGGAAGGGAGAGAGAGAGAGAGAGAGAGAGAGAGAGAGAGAGAGAGAGAGAGAGAGAGAGAGAGAAACATCAATGATGAGAGAGAATCAATGATCGGCTGCCTCCTGCACGCTCCCCATTGGGGACCAAGCCCACAACCCAGGCATGTGCCCTTGACCGGAATTGAACCCAGGACCCTTTAGTCCACAGGCTGATGCTCTATCTATTGAGCCAAACTGACTAGAGCTATATATATATTAGAGGCCCAGTGCATGAGATTCATGCACCCAGGGGAATGGGGGGCCCTCAGCTGGGCCTGCACCCTCTCGCAGTCTGGGAGCCCTTGGGGCAGGGGTCCTCAAACTTTTTAAAGTGGGGGCCAGATCACGGTCCCTCAGAGAGCTGGAGGGCCGGACTATATGAACTACTAATTCCTACTGTAACACCTTGGCTGCGCTCACTGCCCAAAAAACCTGGCGGGCCGGATCAGACTCCTCTGCGGGCCGCATGTGGCCCACGGGCCGTAGTTTGAAGACGCCTGCTGGGGGGATGTCCAACTGGCCAGCAGTCCCTCCTTGGCGCTGCCAAAGGGGCGGGAGAGGCTCCTGCCACAGCCGCTACACTCACTACACTCACCAGCCATGAGCCCGGCTTCTGGCTGAGTGGCACTCCCCCGTGGGGGCGCACTGACCACCAGGGTCAGCTCCTGCATTGAGTTTGCGCCCTACTGGTCAGTGCACATCATAGTGATCAGTCACTGCTGTTCGGTTGATTTACATATTAGCTTTATTATATAGGATATCTTTATTGTGGCAAACCAGCTTGTTAAAAAATAATTTTAAATGACTGCAATTCATTTGAATATACTAACAGAAAAGCTACACTTCCTGTACACAACAAAAGGCAAGTAAGCTCAGAAAAGCATTTTCAAAAATTACTATCCTGCCTGGCAAGCGTGGCTCAGGCGTTGAGCATCAACCTGTGACCCAGGAGGTCCCGGTTGCAGGTTCGATCCCCAGTGTAGGGCGTGCAGGAGGCCACTAATTAATGATTCTCATCATTGATGTTTCTATTGCTCCCTCTCCCTTCCTCTCTGAAATCAATAAAATACTAAAAAGAAATTACTGTCCTTATTGGTATGGGGTAGGCAAAGTGTGAAATAGGCCAAGTCCTTTACATGAAGAGTAAACGAGTTAATACTGTAAAATGATTCCGAACCATTACTGGCGCATGTCAAATACCATGTGTTTTTGTGTTATTTGAAAAAAATCCAGATAACATTCCTAATTTTGCAGGTTATTAAGGGAACTTGTAGCACCTAGGAACTTATTTTAAGAGCAGGTAAACCTTTGGAGATGTGGCAGGCAATTGGACATGAGCAGAGCAGGAACAACGGGCAGGTACGGGGCACCAGGGAGAAAGCCCTGGGCGCCTGGCAAAGGGCAGTGGTGGGTGGGACCTCGCCCTCAGGTGACCCTTCCTCCCCTAGCGTTTGCTGGCCATGCCCCCACCCCTGACCTCTCCTCCCTGGAGATAACACTTAGGCCTCAGTTATATGTCAGCTCCAGGCTCAGGAAAGCAGCCAAACCGGACAGTGACCCCATGGCTGACCTCAGGACCAGCTGCATTAAATAACAACCCCTCTCCAGGCTCGGGCCCATTTATCAGTGGAGACCCAGACCCTGAAAAGCTGCTGAATATGCCATTGAGATCTTCCCCTGGGACCTCCCCTAAAATCTCACCCTTAAAACCCTAGGATGGAGGGCTCAGGGCCTCTGCCTCCCAGGAGCACAGGGACCCTGCACCTCCCTCTCCCCCTCTCCCCCTCTCCCCTTCCCCCAGCAGGCGCCTGACCACCACCTCCCTCATTCCCGAGTTCCAAGGCCCTTCCTGCATCTCAGTAACTGGCTTCCTCAGCCCATCTCTTCTAGCGACTCCTTCTCCCCCTCTGTGATTTACCAAATAAATGTTTCTCTTATTTGAGTCTTGGCTCTGATTTTCTTCTTACCCAGATTCCAAGTTAAGAGGTTGCCAAACCCAGGTCCGGTCAGACGCCATCCGTCTAACACGGGCTGCCCACACAGAAATAAACTGCTGTGCTTGCTCCTGATCCTGTCACTTAACACTGCGCCTTTCTGTGTCTGAGCTTACGGTTACTTTGTGTCAGCCTCCGAGCATCCGCCATCCGCTCCAGTGTTGTCAGTACGGATCACCTCCAGCGTGCTCCATACCGGGTGGCAGATGGGGGTGCAAAACATGATACAAAAAACAGGTAATCATAAGATAACCGAATGAGAAAAATTAACCTCCACAGAGTAGCAGTTGAACTTGGCGAGTTTTCTGATGGGGAGAGAGGCGAGTGCACTACACACAGTGTGAGTGACCCCGAAACAGTGTCACCCCAGAAAGCGCCCAGCTGAGAGCCAGGGCGCCGCTGGTCCTCACTCAGGGAACAGCAGGACCCGCCTCGGGCCAGGCGCCCTGCGCTGCCCTGCCCTGCCCTGCCCAGGAGCGCGGGGTGTGTGTGTGTGTGTGTGTGTGTGTGTGTGTGTGTGTGTGTGTGTGTGACCGCGGCCCCGCCTCCCCGTGCGGAATCCCCTCCCCCCCCCCGCTGCCCCGCCTCCCCCTCTGCCTCTCCCCCCTCCCCACCCCGCGGGCGGGCGGAGCGGCTCCCTGGCGCCCCCTGGCGCCCCCAGGCCCGCGGCGGCTTCCGCTGAGCCGCGAGCGGGTTGTGGTTCCCTCCTCCCCAGCAGCGGCCTCTCCGGCGGCCGAGCCCAGATCCCGGCTCAGGTGGGTCTCCCCGGACCGCGGCGCCTTCACCCCTTCCCCTCCTCTCCCTTCCCTTCCCTTCCCTTCCCTTCCCGTCCCCTCCCCTCCCTCCCCGCGCGCCCGGCTCCCGGCTCCCGGCTCCGTGGCTCCGGCTGCAGCTCCCGCCGGCGCTGGCCCCTCCGGTGCGGGCGGCCCGCGTGGCTCCGGGGCCGGGACCAGGTCGGCGGGTGCGGCGTGCGGGGCGGGGTGCGTGCGGGGCGGGGTGCGTGCGGCCAGATCTCGGGGCCCCCGAGGCAGCCAGCGGGTCCAGGTGTGGCACCGAGCGCGGCGGGTGGCGGAGGGGCGCTCGCGGGCTCCGCAGCCGGTTCCCCTGGGCGCCCGGCCGCCTCCGCGGGCGCCTCCGCGGGCACCTCCGCGGCAGCCGGGCCGCTCCCGCCGGTGGCCGCCGCCGGGTCCGGGCACCGCGGGGGGCGCCCAGGTCACTGTCCGGGTGCCTGCAGCTGCGGTCGGTCCGCGGCGCCCTGGAGCTGCCCATCCCTGTGTTCCCCGTGGCCCCGGCAGCCGCGGAGCTCCCTCTCACTTTCGGGCTTTCCGTTTTCTCTTGCCTCCTTGCCTCCTGCAGGCTTTGGAAACCACTCTGGGTGCAGGGGTGGGGGAGCCGCCGCTTTGCTGAGGGAAAAAGCGGCTCAGCTGCTGAGCTCCGATGGCCTGGGAGGCCCCCGCCCCTCCCCGGGGCCTGGGAGGACTCCACACCCACCGGCCTCCCAGCCCCGGGTGTGCCTCCTGCACCCGCAGCCACCGGCGCCAGCCCGTGCAAGTGGGTGTGTGCCCTCTGCCAGCCAGGCTCTGCTCTGATTTTGATTTTCCCCTGACCTAGGCATTGGATCCGTGGGCTTAGTCGCGGCTAGAGCCCAGTCCAGGACGATACACGTGGATAACCCAAGGGCAGGAGGACTGGCCACAACAATGACTTTATTCTGGGGGGATGAGTCAAAGGGCAGGACGTCCGGCCTCTCGCAGGGAGGCCCCAGCCCAGTCAGTGGGACTCAGTGAGGGTTACTGTGCTGAGAGCAGCACGCTGTTTGCTGCAGGAATGCTTACCCGCCTCAACCACTGCTGCCTGCGCACAGCGGGCATCTCCTTCCCGCCCAGCTCCAGGCTGGTACCTGTAACTCTGAGTGTGGTTTCATTAAGGCAGAGAGAGAGCACCAGCAACCAGGCCTGTTAGTTAGTTAGCTCACTAAATGCCAGACATTTGGCTTACAGGTTATCTCGTCAAATTGTTTTCTCTCTTACTATTTCCATTGACTCAGAATTATCACCAGGTAGTAAAATCCACTTCTGCATCTTTTTAAGGTAACATGTTTCATTTCTGACAGCTTTATATATATAAAACATTACAACAGCTGCTGGGGAGTTTTGAGGATTAAAGTGTTAAATATGTTTATTATAAGATACTATTACTATTTTTAAATATATTATATATATATATATTTTTGTTGTTGTTGTTGTTGATTTTAGAGAAGAAGGGAGAGGGAGAGAAACATCAATAGTGAGAGAGAACCCTTGATCGGCTGCCTCCTGCATGCCTCACACTGGGGATCAAGCCCTCAACCTGGGCAAATGCCCTGACTGGGAATTGAATCCCGGTGACTTCCTGGTTCATAGATCAATGCTCAATTGCTGAGCCATGCCAGTTGGGCGATACTATTACTATTAAATGTACTTTTTGTAAAGATTTTAAAATTGATTTTTAGAGAGGAATGGAGAAGGAGAAAGAAACATCAATGTGAGAGTGAAACACTTATCAGCTGCCTTCCACATGCCCCCTACTGGGGATCAAGCCTGCATGTGCCCTGACTTAGAATCGAACCCACAATCTTTGGATTTTTTTATACTAAGGGCTAATTTATACTTTTAAACTTTATAAACTTGCAATCAACTCCCTGTTCGATAAAAGTCCTAACCAAAAAGATTAATTCAGATCACCCTCACAGCAGATCACAGTATAGACTGGCTCCACCTACTAGAACATGGGAGTTTACACTCCAGAGGAAAAGGGTCTCTCCGGGGTGACCCCCTGTCCGGAGGGACCTGCTGGCCCTGGAAGTTGGGGCTTAATGGAGCAGAGCAGTCTGCTTCTGAAAGCTTCTTCCTCTCCCCCCTCCCCCGCCCCCCCATCGCCCACAGTGAACAAACACTGATTTTGAAAGCTGAGTTTCCCAGTGTGCCCTGGTGACAGCAGACATAGCCTGGAGCAGCTAAGGTGTATACAGCTCGATCACCTGTGGAAAGAGCACTTTTTTAAAATAGAGAAAAGATACCACTAAAGTGAACCGGAAGATCATTGTCTGTGATTATTGTCTACCAGAGGCCTGCTGCACGAGTTTGTGCACGGTGCGGTCCTGAAGGAGTAGGGGGAGCTGGGACATGAAATCTATGCACTGAGGTGGGGGATCCCTCAGCCCGGCCTGTGCCCTCTCACAGTCTGGGAGCCCTGTGATCTATCGATTGCCCCAAAGAGGTAGGCCCTGCCCACCCTGCTGGGGCTCCACAATGGATTGTACCTGCAAAAGGAGGCCTTGCCCACCCACCACAGACCACCAGGCCACCGCCTGGACCTCCCTCTTTGGGGTGATCATGGAGCCCCCTGATTGATCGATCGCCCCGCTGGCCAGTGTCCTGGCAATCATGGGATGATGGCTGGGCTCCCGACCAATCGCATCGCACCTGCCTTGGCTGGCCTGGCACCAGTGGGTGTCATAGCGTGGTCATCCGGAAGGCTGTCCAGAAGGGAGTTCGGCTGCCTGGTCTCATTAGCACATGGTGCTTTTATTAGTATAGATGACCAGAGGTTATTATAGGTAGGTGATATAGAGTAGGGGTGTCGAACTCAATCAGAGAAGGGGCCAAAATCTAAAATCCAGCCTAAATCACGGGCTGAATGGTTTACTGAACAGTCATAAACTGTCATTGTGATGGAAACGCACCGGAGTGCAGTGATGACAGCGCGGTGCGGGCCACATTGCAAGGCCTGGCGGGACGGATTTGGCCCGCGGGCCTTGTGTTTGACACATGTGATATAGAGGGAAATCTGGTCCAAGAGAGTCAGATGGGGAGAACTGGAAGTGCACTGAGGTCTGTAACCGTTATCTGAGCAGGACCAGAAGAGCCTCGGGGAGAGCCTCGGGAGGCAGACTGCCTGGATTTCACACTGGAGTTTCCACGTCTTAGCTCTTACAGCCATCAGAGCTTGTTGTACACACAGGAGCATGTTAGCGCCTCAAGGGCAGGGATCCAGTTCCCGGCTGCGTGCTGTTGCTGCGTCGTCGGTGCCAAGTCCCTGGCGCGTGGTGTGCTGGCTCACGCTGGCTGTTTTATCATCTCACTCAGCAGCCCCGCTGGCTCCGAGCCACGGCGCTTCTTTACCTGTCTCTCTGCCTGTGTCCCTGCTCCTCCTCAGACGGCATCGAGCATCCTGCACCCATCCAACATGGCTTTAAACATTTGTTTTGTTTTATTTTATTTTTTAAAAAAATATGTTTTTATTGATTTCAGAACGGAAGAGAGAGAAACATCAATGATGAGAGAGGATCATTGACTGGCTGCCTCCTGAATGCCCCACATGGGGGATCAGGGATCGGGGATTGAGCCCCCAACCATAGGCATGTGCTCTGACTGGGCATTGAATTGTGACTTCCTGGTTCATAGGTCGAGGCTCAACCACTGAGCCACGCCAGCCAGGCTAAACATTTATTTAATAAACATACAAAATTTAACTAAGCAGGTACATCTAAACACTTTAGCAATATTTAACGCATAACTTTATAACGAAGGCTTATTAAAATTTACATTTTACAGATGGAAAAGCTGAGGTACAGAAAACTTAAGTAACTTGCTCAAGGTCATACAGCTTAGGAAGCTGCATCTGGATTCAAACCTAGTTGGTCCAGTTTTAAAGTCCAAGTTCTTAACTATATTATGCTATGTTGTCTATTACATTACTTTTATTTCAGGCATCAGCAAACTGGGTCATATTAAGGCCTTCCTCCCATTTTTGTAAATAAAGTTTTATTAGAACAGCCACACCCCCCCTCCTTCTGCTGCTTTCCTGACAAAGGCACAGTGGAGTAGTTGTCACAGAGACTGTACAGCCTGCGAATGGTCACCGGCCCCGGGGTTACTTGAGTCATAACCCTTGCCATCATCTGCATTTGTGTGTGTTTATTTTATGTCTTTTGTTCTAGGTTACAAGCTCCAGGAGAGCAGAGGTTTTCTTGCTTTGTTCTCCCCTGTATTTTTAGCTCTGATAAGAAAAAAATATTCTGAAATGTTCTCAATTACAGCAGCTGGAGAACGAGAGAAAGAGACAGAGCTGTTAGTCTGAGAGTGGCTTCGGGCTGTGCTAGTCACATTCTTGTTTTACCTGTTGGGATTTGGGTTAATTTCCGGTGGATGTTCTGCAGATTATTTCAGCCAGGCACCATCCAATCCCAGGGACCCCTGCTTCTCCCAGCCAGCCCAGGGGCGCTGGCGTTTCTCTGCGTCACCGCCCCTGCTGTGCCTGCGGCTCCTGTAAATTCTTCCAGACCTTTCCTTTTTCCCCTGCCTCCTGGGTGTGTAATGACGCTTGCCAAACCCCGAGGACAGACATGCTTTATCTCCTTGCATGCTGCTGCGGGTTCAGACTCCGTGCCCCAGGACCCATCTTCATTTTGGCTAGCTTCTTTGGCTCAAGAAACCTTACTTTTAAAAAGACTTGTAAAAAAGATAAAGACTTGTCATAAAGACACGTTTTTTACCAAGTGAAAAGATTTGCAGCCACGGAAATTAAGAAGTTTTAACGTAACAGCTCCTGACACGGGGCCTGGCACAGAACAGGCGCACCATAAATGCTGTGTTTATGGAATAGAGGAACATTATGCAGTGATGTAGCCAAGTTCATTGTCATTATGCTGAGCGCTTGCCCTCTCCGAGATCGTTGAAGGACATGTTTTGAGGGCTGTGTTTACAATTTGACCTCCAGGCGTGGAGCTGCGATGTCCATGCTGCTTGTCTTTGGACTGTTGCTGCATGACCTCCCGCTGAGCCGCCCTGAGGAGGCTTCGCCCCCGGTCGGGGCCGAGGGCGCCCCGGGCGGGCCCGGGTTCAACTACGCCAGCATCCGCCTGCCCGAGGAGCACATCCCCTTCTTTTTGCACAACAGCGGGCATGTGGCCAGCCTCTGCAGGAAGGACCCACACTGTCCTTTTAAGGTAGGCTCTTTCCCTTGTTTACTTGTAAGGCTGGCTTACCAATTCTGCTTCACAGCTTGAACTTGAAGGTAGCATTTTATCTTTGGGTTGTAAGGTGAGTTGGTCATTGTATTTCATATAAGGCTTATAAGGACCAAACTTTGTTTAAAACTATGTCCCACTCACAGCAGTGAGATTTAAAATCCAAATCACTAGTAAATAGGAAACCAATCCTATTTGTATACTCCAGGGATGAGTCAAATTAGATTTTTTGCACAAAAGAATATCTCGTTCCAAGTAACTAAGGAATTTGCCACCTCTTCCTTCAGCTGCACTGGGTCTGTTTCAGCACTTCATTGCGATAATCACACCTCTGCCCCTAATCACACCTCTGCCCCTAATCACACCTCTGCCCCTAATCACACCTCTGCCCCTAATCACACCTCTGCCCCAATTCACACCTCTGCCCCTAATCACACCTCTGCTTGGTGTAGAGGCTGTCCTGGTGCAGAGCTGCTGGAAAGGCCCCAAATGGCAGCCCTTTAAGGCAGCTACTGAGGCCCCAGAGATCAAAGCTGGGCACTTCCTTTCCCACGGTGCTGGCACAGGAAGCCCGCTGACAGGAGGCCTGGGAACCACACACCCCCCCCCACACACACATACACACACACATTCACTCACACACAGACACACACATTCACACACACACACACACACACACACATACACATTCACTCACACACACACATACACATTTACTCACACATAGACACACACATTCACACACACACACACATACACACACACATTCACTCACACACAGACACACACATTCACACACACACACACACACTCACACACATACACATTCACTCACACACACACATACACATTTACTCACACATAGACACACACATTCACACACACACACACACACACACACACACACACACACGCTGCCCCTGGGCCGGCGAGAGCCTGCGGGCTCTCTGGCCTCCAGCGGCTGCTGTGGCCCCAGGGGCTGCATAGCCTCCACGTCTTGAGGGATCTGCCGGTCTGGATGGATGAACAAAGTTGCTGATCCAGTTAATGTAGCTGATTCTTTTGGCGACAGAAATTCCACTTTAGGTGACTTCTAGGGTCTGCTTTTAGAATCAGTTTGCTCGTGGGGAAAGGAAGGCTGATTCATGGAGCCGCTTCCAGAAATGTCAGTGCCAGTGGTCTTTGGTAGTCCAGGTAAAGCCTAGACTTGTGGTTAGGGAACCAGCAGGGGGAGGGGCTGGTAATTAAAAGGTAATTGTTGTTAAGAACCTTAAGACTCCTGTTCTCAGAGTTTACTCTTGTAATTTTTATTGCAGTTAAGGCAGCCGGTCCTCAGGGACAGTAAAAGTGAAAGTCCTCTAATGCTTTGTTTCTTCATGGAAAATTCTGAGAGTCCTCTCTCAATGTCAGAAGGCAGCCTCATCTAAATAAATGCATATTGTCAGGGTCACTGAAGGAAGGGGGAACGCAGGAGGCCAACAGGGGAAAGAATTAGGATTTATTAGGTCATCTGGGGACCAGGTGGCTGAGTCCCCACATGGCGCCAGCACCAGGGGCTGGGAGTCAGAGGCTGGAAAGGCACCTCGGTGGGTCTTTCAGGCCGGAGAATTCTCTGGGCGCGTCCGCATCCTGGGAAGGCCCAGAGGGAAGGAGAAAGGTCTTAGCGAGGAGGGTGGTCTAAGCGAAAGGGGATGTCCGTTGTGAAGTGGCCTAAAGGTCAGTCTCCCAGGGAAGGGGGTATTGATTTAATTATTTGATCAGATCCAACACACGTTTTATGTTCTAGAAACACTTAGAAAACCTGAAGTTCTGCTGGGGCTATGAGGAATCCTGCAGGCCCGAGTTCCGGTTCAGTTACCCCGTCTGCACCTACGTGGACATGGGATGGTAAGTTTCCCGATGGAGTGATGCCTCCCCGTTCCCAGCGAGGCTCTTGGTTTTAGGTAGTCACTCCTTTAGATATCCGTTTGCTCACATGGTCACAGGGTCAACTCCACTACCCCCAGGAACAGCTGTCATGTCCTCTGTCAGGGGGAGACGCGGTGTAGGTCACAGGAAATACTCCCCCCAGCAGACACCAGGAAGATACACTGATGTTCTCCTCACGATGCTGGAGGGGGAAGTTAAGTTAATTGAAACTGGAAAAGTCGGTGTTTGTGCTGCCGGTCACCACCAGAACCAGTAAGCAGAGGTGAGGATTGAGTCTTTACGGGTGCTTTTCTCAGAGGGCCTGCCATCAGAGAAGGTTGCGGGTTGTGTACCCTAAACAGACGGTCTTACCTGTCATCTCAAGCCAACCCTTTTACAAGGAGAAGAGAAGTGTAGGTGAAGGTTTGGAACTCAGCGGAAAAGGTTAGCCAGCTAGAGCTGCATCTGTGATTTTCTGAGCATCCTCTCACCTGCTGACGGTGACTCCATCAGCGATCAGCGTCCCGGGCGGCAGTGTTCCCTCCCGGGAGCACCTGGTTCAGACGTGTCTGGGCCACGCGCAGTCCTCCGGGGGCATGGGGTCAGATTGCTGGCAGGTGTTACGTTCCAGTCCCTAGAACACATGTGTCAAACACAAGGCCCGCGGGCCAAATCCGTCCCGCCAGGCCTTGCAATGTGGCCCGCACCGCGCTGTCATCACTGCACTCCGCTGCGTTTCCATCACAATGACAGTTTATGACTGTTCAGTAAACCATTCGGCCCGCAATTTAGGCTGGATTTTAGATTTTGGCCCCTTCTCTGATTGAGTTCGACACCCCTACCCTAGAACAACAGCCTCTACATGCATCGATTACCAAGCCTATTAACTGTACCTAAACCTAAACATTTTTAACATCCTGAGTCCCCCGCCACAGTGACTATAATCCTTACATTCACGGTGCGGGGGAGTCGTGTGGAGGAGGTGGGAGAGGCATAGAGGGGGTAAATGGTGATGGAAAAATAAAATAAGTAAAAATGCATGCCAGGCTAATGGAGTGAGTAAAATACAGTAATTAGTAACCCAGTCTCATTAGTAGTCCAGTTCCAGATGACCCTAAATACGTTTATGTGTGCATTTGCATTTTAAGTGAGTACGTCTGTAGATAATGTATTTTGGTAACTTCTTCATCTAGCAAAGGATCATTTTAAGAAAATTGTGATAGTTTACTTAAAAAATTAATGAAAAATGTACAGCAATTTAATCGTTCGAAAGAAGATTCACATCTCAGAAAAAAGAAAAAGAAAAAAAAAAGTGAAGGAAAATCTTTGTTTGCAAATAGGACGGATACTCTGGAGTCAGCCCGGGACACCTTCTGGGAGCAAGCGGACTTCGGCTACGCGGGTGCGCGGCGGCGGGAGCTGCGGGAGCTCTGCCGGCCCGAGCAGACGGTGAGCTGCGGTTTATTTACCGATACCACCAGAGGCCTGGCGCACGGAATGCGTGCACAGCGGGCGGAGGAGGTGGTGTCTCTCAGCCCAGCCTGCACCCTCTCCCCTCTCCAATCTGGGACCCCTGGAGGGATGTCCACCAGGATCGGGCCTAAATGGGCAGCTAGACATCCCTCTCACAATCCAAGACTGCTGGCTCCCAACTGCTCGCCTGCCTGCCTTCCTGATTGCCCCTAACTGCTTCTGCCTGCCAGCCTGATTACCCCCTAACCACTCCCCTGCCAGCCTGATTGATGTCACTGCTCCCCTGCCAGCCTGTTTGCCCCCAACTTCCCTCCTCTGCCGGCCTGGTCACCCCTAACTGCCCTCCCCTGCAGGGTTGATCACCCCCAACTGCCCTCCCTTGCAGGCCTGGTGCCTCCCAACTCCCCTCCCCTGCTGGCCATCTTGTGGTGGCCATCTTGAGTCCACATGGGGGCAGGATCTTTGACCACATGGGGGCAGCTATCTTGATTTTGTGTGTTGGAGTGATGGTCAATCTGCATATTACTGTTTTATTAGATAGGATGCTCCTGTGTTTAGATCATGATGTGAGACAAGGCAGACGGCCTGAGAAAGGACTCCTCCTCCCGCCTGTTTATTGGCTTAGACTCTTTTAACTTCTGAAAACAAGTTGTTCTGTGTCCTTTGGGAACCGTGTCCTACTTTCACACAACATCAGATGGCCATATAAAATAGCACTAGGATTAGCATTTCCCCCAACATGTGCTAAAGAAGAAAAATTGATAAAATGCACCTTTACAAATTTGCTTGCAAGTAGTTTGGGACAGATGAGACACCTCACCATGCTGCTCATGTTTGCTTAGGACTTTACAGTTAGCAGGCAGCTGTCCTGGACAAGTGGGCTGGCTGGGTTCTCACAGGCATGGCAGAAGGCGTGCAGAAAGGCAGCGGGTCCTCAGGGACAGAAAGCAGCTTCGGTGAGACCAGCAGCTGCTGCTGGGACTGTGTGCCCAGAATTAGAACGCAGGTCTGTGCTGTCCCCCTCCTGCAGTGCGCTCAGCTGGTAAACGCACCTTTGCTGGACGCAGCCGGAGGCAATCAGAAGAAGGACAGGCCCACACTGCAGGGTTCAAATCCTGATCCCAATTTCTTCTGCTTTTTAAAAAATATATACCGGTATAGATTTTTATTGATTTCAGAAGGAAAGGAGAAGGAGAAACGTCAATGATGAGAATCATGGATTGGCTGCCTCCTGCCTGCCCGCTACTGGGGATCAAGCCCATAATCTGGGCATGTGCCTGACTGGGAATTGAACCATGACCTCCTGGTTCATAGATCGATGCTCAACCACTGAGCCACATTGGCCGGGCAATTTCTTCTGCTTTGAACCATGCCTATTTTAGAGCTTGTAGTAAGGATGAAAGGAGATTCTGTATATGAAAACGCTCATGCAGGGTCCCAGTCCAAGTAAAGGTCCAGGGAGTTGTAGGCACGTATGATTAGGGTCTGTTTTCCCCATGTGCTTGAACCCTGGCCAACCTCGGATATCTCAGGCTTCTCCATGATCTGCAGGCAATCAGAAAATTAAAGAATTTTTTTTTTTTTTTTTTTTTTTAATGCACTCGTATGTGCTCTGTAGCTTTGGAAGCTGTCACATAACAGAACGAGGCACTTCTCGCAGGAAGCATGGTGGGACCCACACTGCCACTCGTGCCCATAGCCAATGCCGTCTCACCCACCCAGTCTCTGCCTGAGTCTGCTGTCCGGACAGGGTAGGGCGGAGCCATGGCCCACCTGGCACCCTCCGGGCAGTGTGTAGAATGGTCTCCTGGCCAAGATCTACCCCCATTGCATTGTGCTCTTACAGTCTGATCCCTTACCAGCGGTGGACTCCAGAACACCGTGCCGGTCAAGGCCTGTTCATGGGCGTTACAGGAAAAACAAATGGCATTTAATCTAGAAATAGAATCCAGAGCAGATAAAGCTCTGGAAACTCCCTCGTCCAGCACAGACCAGACTGGCAGAGTCAGGAGCAGGCTCTGGCGGCCGCCTCGCCAGCTCGCTTGTCAGTGATGTAGAAAGCACTGCCCTCGCATCACCGTGGAGACAGGGACTCCCACCAGCTTTATGTTTGCAGACAGTAGCTCTCACGGAATCGGCACCCTGCCCTTCAGCCTTGCGTTTCAATGTCTTGTGTGCGTTCTTCTTGTTTCATTTGGCTCGTCTTGGAAAGATGCTTTTCACACACGGTGGTGGTGATGGTTCTGAACGCTTTCCTTCTTAGAGGACTGGACCTCACGTTCCACTCTTGCTTTATTTAACAAGAGGTGGAATACATAGAACATGGGAGTTCTTAGTCACTGGAAAATGTGAAAATGGGCAAAACTTTGTGTGGCCGAAGAGAAATGTCCTGAACAGAAGCAGCCTTGGGAAACATGCCCTGTCACACTGTGGGGCTCGATCTCAAGGTGCACACGCTGTCAACATGTCTAGCACGTCGGGGGAGTCCTCGGAATGTTCAGACTCAGAGCTGTTTTTTCAACCGTATTTCAGAGTGACTCGAGCCTGGTATGTTCCCGCTACCTTCAGTATTGCAGAGCAACCAATCTCTACCTTGACTTAAGAAACATCAAGAGAAGCCATGACAGGTACTTACGTGGTTGATGTTAAAAATCGAATGGAAATTCTGAAATATTTTCAGGCCCAGGGACATGCCTTGGGTTTGCTTCATAAAGATATGGCAATGAGGCTGGGACAGGTGGAGAATGGGCCTCAAGTTGATTGTTGTGAAGCTGGGTTTTGGGTGCATCAGTTTCCTTCCTGTACCATTCTACTGCTTTTATATACATTTGAAATGTTCTATTATGAAGAGTTAAATTCTGATGAAAAACTGATTTTGGTAAACCACTTTGGCTACAGCTCATGTGCTTGAGTCCTGAAAAAGTTTTCCCAATGTAATTTAATTTTTTGTTATCAACCAGGTTTAAGGAGGATGTTTTCCAGACTGGTGAGATTGGAGGACACTGTAAACTGGATGTGCACACGTTGATGTCTGAAGGTCAGCGCAAAAGCCCCCTGCAGTCTTGGTGAGATTTTTTTATTTTTTATTTTTATTTTTTAACAGTGTTTGTAAAACATTTGCCTTTATTTCTGGAACTTGCAGATTTTGGTAGGGAATCTCAAATGCAAAGTTTTATTTCATTTGTGAATAATTTGGCATGAGCTTTCAGAAAGTGATGGCTATAGAGCAAATCCACCGGTTATAACTGAATTAAATATATGTTTATAAAATATTAGGAAGTATGATATAGTACTTCTTGCTAATGAAAGAAAAAAAATGAGTTAATAAAATAATGAATTTTTATTAACTCGTAATTGCTATGTTTTGGGGAATACATTTAAAAAAGAAACACAAGGGGAGAAACCAAGATAGGAAAACACCTAAACTGTTGCCTTCCGCAACAATTTTAAAACTACAGCTAAAAGACAAAATGAACATCATCCAGAACCACAGGAAAGCTGGCTGAGTGGAAATTCTACAACTAGAAGGACAGAGAAAAGCACATGGAGAATCAGAGGAGCTGGAAAGGACTGGGGTACAGAGGCACGCTTGCAGAGAGGAAGGGTGGCTGAGTGCCAGGCTGGCTTTCTCTAGTGGAAAGGAGACAAAATCTCCTAAGTGCACTGAACCCCAGTTCCGACTGCACTAAACTCCAGTTCCGGGTGAAACCCTGGGGAATCTGGACTGTCAAGCAGAAACTCAGGGGAGCCTCAAAAGGCAGAATAAGACTAACTGCTGAGTGTGCCGCTGGCTTTCTCTAGTGGGAAGAAAACGGAAACTCCAGACTGTGCTGAACTCCAGTTCTAGGCGAGAATCTGGGAATCCAGATTCATTGGGGGAGAAATTGGACTGTCTGTCAGAGGGTGAAACTCGAGGGCAGCTTTCTCTCAGAGGTGCTTGCAGTTATTACCAAGGGACACTGAGACCCAGGGGCCTCATACGGCAGGGATGACGGGAAACCAAGACTGTCTGCTCAGCCCTGAGACTCCACCCCATCCAAGTGGAGCACAGAGGCTTTTGCAATTTTGTAAGTCTTGTATCATAGGCTATCTCCAGCACAGAAATTCTCCCGGCGTAGACACAGCTGATCCTCACAGCCAATTGATCTGGAGGTCAATTCCTTCCAGTGATACCAACAACAATCAAGACTTAACTTCAACAAGTCTGTACACACAGTCCACAAAGGGGTGCACAAAGAGTGTTCACCTCAGGTAACTGGGGAGTCTGAGCCACTGGGCCATATAGGACACCTAGCACCCAAAGCTACCCTACCAACTCAGGGAAGCAGCAAAAATGCAGAGACAAAGAAAAAGATCTCAAACGAAAGAAACGGAGGAAAACAAAAGACTGGATACAGAGTTCAAAACCACGGTTATATGGTTTTTCAAGAATTTCCTAGAAAAGGCTGATAAATTTAGCGAGACCCTCGAGGATATGAGAGAGACCATATGGAAAAGAACCATCTAGAAATTAAACATACACTGACTGAAATAAAAAATATTATACAGAGACCCAACAGCAGACTAGAGGAACACAAGAATCAAGTCAAAGATTTGAAATACAAAGAAGCAAAAAACACTCAACTGGAAAAGCAAAAAGAAAAAGAATCCAAAAATTTGAAGGTAGTGTAAGATGCCTCTGGGACAATCTCAAGCATACTAACATCAGAATTATGGGGGTGCCAGTAGAAGACAAAGAGCAAGATACTGAAAACCTATTTGAAGAAATAATGACTGAAAACTTCCCTCACCGGGTGAAAGAAATAGACTTACAAGTCCAAGAAGCGCACAGAACCCCAAACAAAAGAAATCCAAAGGACCACACCAAGACACATCATAATTAAAATGTCAAGAGCAAAAGACAAAGAGAATATTAAAAGCAGTGAGAGAAAAGCAGTTACCTACAAGGGAGTACCCATATGACTGTCAGCTGATTTCTCAACAGAAACTATGCAGGCCAGATGGGAGTGGCAAGAAATATTCAAAGTGGTGAATAGCAAGAACCTACAACCAAGATTACTCTACCCAGCAAAGCTATCATTCAGAATTGAAGGTCAGCTAAAGAGCTTTACAGGTAAGAAAAAGATAAAGGAATTCATCACCACCAAACCAGTATTATATGAAATGCTGAAAGGTATTCTTTAAGAAGAGGAAGAAGAAGAAAAAAGTAAAGATAAAAATTATGAACAACAAATTCATATATATCAACACATGAATCTAAAAATCAAGTGAATAAAAAATCTGAGCAACAGAATAAACTGGTGAATATAATAGAATCAGGGGCATAGAAAGGGAGTGGTCTGACAATTTATCAGGGGGAAAGGGGTGTAGGGGGTGTGGGAAGCAATGTGACTTTAAATTGTACACCTATGGATGAGGACAGTGGGGGGGGTAAGGGCAGAGAGTAGGATGGGAACAGGGTAGGGGGGAGCTATGTGGGGGGGGAAGAAGGAGAAACAATTATAATAATCTGAACAATGAATTGTAAAATTATTTTTGTTTCTGGTCTCAGTATTGAAATGGACAGCAGGTTATGTAAACGTTGTAAGTTGGGAAGGTCCGCATGGCTTCCTAGGAGGCTGCTCTGGAAGTGAAGTCCCCTGGTGGACAGAGCTCAGTTACAGTAGGATATATAATCACAGTAGGAGATTCAGGAGAATCACTCTGAAAGCGTCTCCCGATTCATGATTCCAGGTTTGCTGAGCTGCAGAGCTACACTCAGCTCAACTTCAGGCCCATAGAAGATGGTAAATGTGATGTTGTGGTTGAGAAACCAGTATACTTCATGAAATTGGATGCAGGTGAGAAGTTAATTTGTAATTTATTAGTTAACGAGGCTTTGTTCCTTTTAAATAAAGTTTATTGATTGCTTTTTAGACAGAGAGTGAGAGAGAAACCGATCTGTTGTTCTACTTCTCTGTGCTTTGGTTGGTTGATTCTTGCATGTGCCCTGACCGGGGATTGAACCTGAAACCTTGGCCCACTGGGAGGATCCTCTAACCAACTGGGCACCCAGCCAGGGCAGTGTTCCTCTTTTGATACATTATGTGACTTCCAGTAGCTTTTTGGGAAGCAGTGTGACTTTAAACAGTGGGTTTGCTTTCTGCTTTCTTCTCTGAAGCAGTGAACTGGTTGGGATTTCCCTTCCTTCAGTACCTTTGGTTTTTAGAAGAAATCTGCACATTTGAATACCATGACTCAGTCAGAATCAAAAGGTGAGAGAAGGTGAATGAAGCCATTTGTAGCTGGATGTCCCCATCACCTTTCTCTCAGCGCTTGACGTAGGTGGAGCTTCGTTCCTCCAAGTAGCAGCTTGTGTGCACTGCGGGCAGGCGAGGGCCGTGGCCTCTTCTGCAGACGTTCTGGTATGGTTCCTGGGACGGAAGTGAACTTAAAATCCCCCTGGACATTGGGTTTGTAGTATATTCTTGGGGGAAATGTTGAAATTACAGTGATTTTCCCGTTTATGCGTGAACCTTCTCTCAACCTGTAAGCACTTCACGCTGTGGGCTGCTGGTCCTGCAGGGAAACGTGGTCGTGCTGCGCCGCTCGCTGTGCGCGGTGAGGGTCACGCTGCCGCACACCTCGCTCCTGAGCGTGGCCTCCGGCACAGAGCCCTCTGTCCGGCTGTGTCAGCATTACAGTCATTTATGGATCGTATTTTTAACATGTTCTGCTTTCTGACAGCATAATCCTTACATTACGAAGTATTAAGTTCAGGAATCAGACAAATTTACATCTTTTTAAAATAAGAGCAAATAAAAAGGCTATGTTTGATGTCCTGACTTATTTTAAAAATATGCTAATTAAAAGGGGCCAAGAAGCCAAAACCGATTTGGCTCAGTAGATAGAGCAGTGGCCTGCGGATTGAAAGGTCCCAGGTTCGATTCCGGTCAAGGGCATGTACCTTGGTTATGGGCACATCCCCAGTGGGGGGTGTGCAGGAGGCGGCTGATCGATGTTTCTAACTCTCTATCTTTCTCCTCCCTCTCTGTAAAAAATCAATAAAATATATTAAAAATAAATAAATAAAAGGGGCTAAGAAAACTGATTTGCCTGTAAAAGGGTTGAATGTGTGCACTGAGATACCTGTGCAAATAGCGTACGTCGAGGGGGAGTAATCAGCCAGTTCTTTCCTATTCTACATTTTTCTTCTAAGTATGCTGTCTTCCAGTTTTCCTTTTTTCCCCCTCTTTTTTTTTTTTAATATAGAGTTTTAATGAAGTTATATATATGTATATTTTAATTTGCTGATCCATTTATTTATTTATTTTCCTTTTTATTGAGTTTATTGGGTAACTGGCTAACAAAATCAGCTGCACTGCTACCTCATCTGCTCACTGTACTGTGTCCTCACCCCAGGTCACGTCTCCATCCCAGCCTTCCACGGCCACTCTCCCAGAGGGAATGAGCGTGCTGGGAGTAAGCAGGGCTCACGAGGGGGCAGGTGTCTGAGGACGGAGCCTGCGATGGTCCCTAGCCTAGCACCCTCCTGGCCCCAGGTGCTGTTCTGTGTGCTGTGCTGAGGCACATGCTGTGAACCTGTGGAGACTTGCCGTGTGCCGGGGGCTGGGCTGGGCAGAGGGCTGTGCTGAAATAGAATTTCCTTTTTCCTGTTTACTTGAAAATATTCTTGGCCAACCTTTCTCTGGGTGAAAAAGGAGTTCCTCCAAACATCCATCTAAATTACGGTCTAAAAGGAACTGAGTATTGCCATGGCCAGTGTGTCTGAGTGGTTGGAGCACTGGCCTGCAGATTGGAGGGTCAGTTTCAATTCCTGGTTAAGGGCGCATACTTTGGTTGCAGGTTCCTCAGCCCTGGTTGGGGTATGTACAGCAGGCAGCCAATCTCTCTCTCTCTCTCTCTCTCTCTCTCTCTCTCTCTCTCTCTCTCTCTTCTCTCTCTCTTATCCCTCTCCCTTTCTTTCCTCCTCCCTTCCACTCTCTAGAAATAAATGGAAAAAAATATCCTTGGGTGAGGATTAAAAAAAAAAGAACTTATTTATTTATTTTTTAAACTCATTTTCTGGCACACAATGTAGTTATTCACTATGGGAATGAACTCAGAATAGTTCATGATTTCTGCTTTTAGTAGCCACTGTTTTTTATTTTAGTTAACATTTTTCCTCCTTTAAAGTACATGTTTTAAATGCCAGTTCCTGGGATCTCATCCTGGTCAGAGTTGTACATTTCCAGCTTGAATCCTGGGTCCTGCACGCTGAGCCTGGGAGGGGCGTTGAGGACCTAGGACTCATTCTTCTCCATCCCTCTGACCCAGCCCGGCCCAGCTTGTCGCCGTTGTTCCCTGGGTGCCAGGCCCTGGCTTGGCAGTGGTGGGTCATTTCTCACAAAGCTGGCACCTCAGGATAATGATCCCTGTTTCTGGTTGAGGGGCTCAGGGACTTCGGGAACTTGCCAGAGAACGTGGCTCATGAATGGCTGAGCTGGGACTCAGCCCAGTTCCTCTGATTCCAAAGTCCAGGCTCCTTCAGTTAGAACACGATGAACAATAGTGGGCTAATATTTCCCCAAGGAGCGATGTTGTAAGTAGTGAGTAAGTATGAAAAAAAGAGACAGGAATGAAAAAATACTCAAATGCTAGTAGTTGTTGTTTTCAATCCTATGACGAAGAGGTGCAGCCTAGTTTATTTTAAAAAATAAACGATCCTAAAAATTAATTCATGGTCCTATGGTTCTACCCAATTCTGTGCTAAGTAGACTTCTGTGATTTTTCCCCTGGGAACTTAATGATTGCTTGTTACTTAGTCTATATGGGGAAATGCAGTCCTGATTTCTAAATAATCAATTTTAAAGTGGATTTGTGAATGCACTCAGTGTGTAAATTGAGGATTATCTGAGTATAGACCATGTCATGTTTGGAGAAACTTTTCCCCCTCTCATTTACTTCAGCTCAAAGCCCATCGGGTGACAAACAGGAGGGGTGGAGTGACATTTTCATGTGTTTGTGGGGCTCGTTAACGTGGACTTCTCTCCGACGCCAGGTGTGAACATGTACCACCACTTCTGCGACTTCCTGAACCTGTACCTCACGCAGCACGTGAACAACTCCTTCAGCACCGACGTGTACGTCGTGATGTGGGACACGGTGCGTAGGCTCCTCCTCCCGCCCTGGCCTGGCTCCTCAGAGCTGTGGCTCCGCCGTGGTGCAGGGGACTAAGACACCACATTCAAATACACATGCACGTACACACGTCCACGGGCATGCTGGTGAGCGGGCGTGTCTGTGTGTGTACGTGTGCAGATGGGCGGACGCGTCGGTAGGCTTACATTTCCTCTGGGAGGGTGGAGGGGGGCAGTGGAAGCGTTCCCTCCCCGTGTGGGCAGGTGCGGCTCCCCGGACAAAGACGGTCCCCGTGCCCCCGGGAGGCAGAAGGAGCCGCACCCCTGACCTCGGCGACCCTGTGGCTGGCGGGGAGCTGTGCTGTGTGGATGAGCTCACTTCGGGGCGGGCCCCAGGCGTGCACATCATACCACACCGGCTTTTTGCTTGTTTGTTTTACTGCTGTCTTTTCTTTCTTCTCTCTTTTCCTGCCTTTACCCTATTCTTTCAGTGCTGACCCCTCCACCTGCCAAGGTAACCCCCCAAGAGCTGCTCCCGTGCACCCCGCTGTGAAATAGGAAGCTGTAAACTCTACCCAAGGGTCATTTTGAGAGTAGACCATGTGGTGTATGAACGGTCACAGCACCCGACACAGCCCCTGGGCTCCGCACGCTCCTCTGACAGAGACAGTGGTGAGGACACGTGTTTGTACACACCCAGGAGAGGCGGCTAACCCGGGGAGTGGGAATTCTCACTGAGAAGTGACCTCAGGTTCGACTAAGCATTCCGACCCGTGGGCTCCCTCTGGCCCGCGCCCATTCAGACGATCTGGCGGGGGACTCAGCGGCCGGCAGGCGCTCCGCCCCTTCTGGAAGGAGACTCTGGCCGCCCACATCGCACAGCTCAGGGGCAGGGAGGTGCCCCCGGGGCGGGCCTGGTGCCCGGGTCCCACAGGATGGCCTTCCTATGTCGGGGACAGCTGCATTGGCAATGCCTCCAGGCTCCCCAGGGAGAGACGGCCGTTCCCGGAGTCATTACGTGGTTTCTGGTGCAGGCGCAGCTGACCAGAAAGCATCTTTTAAACCATAAGCAATGCTAGCTCGGAGCACAGGTGACGCACCAGAGAGCAGAGCGAGACAGTGGACGGGGGTCCCGTTCTTGTGCAGAAGGGGAAATCGTTTCGCTAACATTTTTTTCACTTTCAGGAAGCTCATGTCAAGCTACATAGGAAGGTTTTCCTTTTCCCCACTCCGGAGGCCTTTGTTTGCCCTGAAGTCTGATGGGAATCCTTCCCTAAGTCTTGGCTGTGGCTGCGTCCCTGGTTCTCTGAGTCTGGCTGTGACTGCGTCCCTGGTTCTCTGAGTCCGGCTGTGACTGTGTCCCTGGTTCTCTGAGTCCAGCTGTGACTGTGTCCCTGGTTCTCTGAGTCCGGCTGTGACGGTGTCCCCGGCTCTCTGAGTCCGGCTGTGACGGTGTCCCTGGCTCTCTGAGTCCGGCTGTGACTGTGTCCCTGGTTCTCTGAGTCCGGCTGTGACTGCATCCCTGGTTCTCTGAGTCCGGCTGTGACTGTGTCCCTGGTTCTCTGAGTCCGGCTGTGACTGTGTCCCTGGTTCTCTGAGTCCGGCTGTGACGGTGTCCCTGGTTCTCTGAGTCCGGCTGTGACTGCATCCCTGGTTCTCTGAGTCTGGCTGTGACGGTGTCCCTGACTCTCTGAGTCCGGCTGTGACTGTGTCCCTGGCTCTCTGAGTCTGGCTGTGACTGTGTCCTGGTTCTCTGAGTGGCTGTGACTGTGTCTCTGGTTCTCTGAGTCTGGCTGTGACGGTGTCCCTGGCTCTCTAAGTCCGGCTGTGACTGCGTCCCTGGTTCTCTGAGTCCGGCTGTGACTGTGTCCCTGGTTCTCTGAGTCCGGCTGTGACTGTGTCCCTGGTTCTCTGAGTCCGGCTGTGACGGTGTCCCTGGCTCTCTGAGTCCGGCTGTGACTGCATCCCTGGTTCTCTGAGTCTGGCTGTGACGGTGTCCCTGACTCTCTGAGTCCGGCTGTGACTGTGTCCCTGGCTCTCTGAGTCTGGCTGTGACTGTGTCCTGGTTCTCTGAGTGGCTGTGACTGTGTCTCTGGTTCTCTGAGTCTGGCTGTGACGGTGTCCCTGGCTCTCTAAGTCCGGCTGTGACTGCGTCCCTGGTTCTCTGAGTCCGGCTGTGACTGTGTCCCTGGTTCTCTGAGTCCGGCTGTGACTGTGTCCCTGGTTCTCTGAGTCCGGCTGTGACGGTGTCCCTGGCTCTCTGAGTCCGGCTGTGACGGTGTCCCTGGCTCTCTGAGTCCGGCTGTGACTGTGTCCCTGGTTCTCTGAGTCTGGCTGTGACTGCGTCCCTGGTTCTCTGAGTCCAGCTGTGACTGTGTCCCTGGTTCTCTGAGTCCGGCTGTGACTGCATCCCTGGTTCTCTGAGTCTGGCTGTGACGGTGTCCCTGGTTCTCTGAGTCCGGCTGTGACTGTGTCCCTGGCTCTCTGAGTCTGGCTGTGACTGTGTCCTGGCTCTCTGAGTCTGGCTGTGACTGTGTCCTGGTTCTCTGAGTGGCTGTGACTGTGTCCCTGGCTCTCTGAGTCTGGCTGTGACTGTGTCCCTGGTTCTCTGAGTCCGGCTGTGACTGCGTCCCTGGTTCTCTGAGTCTGGCTGTGACTGTGTCCCTGGTTCTCTGAGTCCGGCTGTGACTGTGTCCCTGGTTCTCTGAGTCCGGCTGTGACTGTGTCCCTGGCTCTCTGAGTCCGGCTGTGGGTGTGTCATGGGTTTACATGGTCCTTGTCCTCCAGTTTTGCTGCCACAGGTTTCACTTCTTGAAAATGTTTCTGTGAGCAATGGGCATGCTGCCTCTTTCTCTCCCTCTTCCTGGGTGAGGGCTGGAGGCTGTGATCACCAGCCGTCGGCACTCTGAACATCACTCAGTGTGGTGCTGGGTTTTATTTTTTTTTATTATTTATTTATTTATTTTTAAAATATATATTTTATTGATTTTGTACAGAGAGGAAGGGAGAGAGATAGAGAGTTAGAAACATCGATGAGAGAGAATCATCGATCAGCTGCCTCTTGCACACCCCCTACTGGGGATATGCCCGCAACCAAGGTACATGCCCTTGACCGGAATCGAACCCGGGACCCTTCAGTCCCCAAGCCAACGCTCTATCCATTGAGCCAAACCGGTCTTGGCTGGTGCTGGGTTTTAAACAACCACACCCGGGGCTCTCTCCCTTTGTGCTCACAGCCACCGGGGACCAGGTGGGCAGCCTGTTTCACAGGAGAGAAGCCGAGGTCCGGGCCCTGGCTGACCTCAGAGAACACAGTCCAAGGGGTGGAGTCAGGGATCCTGTGCCACCGTCTGACCCAAATCTGCGCCTGAAGCCAGTGCTTTATCCTCCCCCGTGGTCCCTGCAGAACCGGGGACGTGGATGGGAGGTTCTCCAGAGACTTCACTTCCTTCCCAGGAGCTTCGGGCTCTTGCTGTGTGCTTGTCCCTGTGTTCCTCGTGGGCACTGAGCCCCGCGGGGCTGGCTCCACGCCCTGAGCTGTGAGGGGAGCGGGCTGCTCAGCCACCTGATGCTCCCCGGTCCCTGTGTCCGGCAGAGGGGCTGGGCTGTCGGGCAGGCAGGTGGAGGTGGGGTGGCTGTTGGGCAGGCAGGTGGGGGTGGTCCAGCAGGCAGACACCCTGATGTTCCCTCCCTCCTGGCTGCTCTCTGCATCCATTCCAAACCTGCCAGCTGGGGCAGAGAGGCCTTTGCCTGCTGCTCACCCTGATTCTCGGGCAGCCAGGCCTGCCGGCCGCTCCGGCATGGAGGCCCACGGAAGGCTGGAGGCTGGAGGCTGCATGGGGAAGTGGCCAGGCCGTGTGGGGACTGCTGTCCTCTCTTGCTGGGTAGGCCTTGAAGGAAGCAGCACTGTGACGGGTTGGCTGTGACCCAGATCCCTGACGGTGGACGTGCTGCCTCAGCGCCCGTCCCGGGCCTCCACGAGCTGGTGCCCAGGCGGGAGGGGGAAGTGGCCGGGCTGCAGGCCAGAGCGTGCTGACCTTTACAAACCGTTTCCCCAGCGGAGCCTGTGAGGCCTTCCCTCTCGCCTTTGCAGAACTCAGGCCGTGGCTTCCTGGTGGGATGGGGAAGGCCACTGACCTGCAGAGACACACTGGGGGCACTCTGCAGAGCCCCTGGCAGATCAGGGCTGTTCTTAACGGGAGGAGTAAGACAGGAGAGTATGCAGGCTCTCCTTATTTCCTTGTGCTGAGAGGTACTGCAGCTTCATTATTTTTAAGAAATATATTTTATTAATTTTTTTATAAAGAGGTAGGGAGAGGGAGAGAGAGAAACATCAATGAGAGAGAAATATCGATCAGCTGCCTCCTACAATCCCCCCTACCCCCCCCACTGGAGATGTGCCTGCAACCAAGATACATGCCCTTGACCGGAATCAAACCTGGGACCCTTTAGTCTGCAGGCTGATGCTCTATCCACTGAGCCAAACCGGTTAGGGCACATCATTATTTTTAATTACACAAGTAAAACCTGGTTATAATGAGTCCCAACCACCAGAAGCATGTAATAGCACTGTAAGTTCTTCCTCTTCTCCATTTTCTTTAAAGGTAACTGAGTAAACACATGCGGGTATCTTGTACGACTTTTTTTGAATAAATGTAAATATATCCTGATGGAAAGTATGCCCTCACTCACGTTATTCCCTGGTGTCATGGCACGCACACCTGTCCCTATGTGGACGTGACAGGCTCTCGTTTTCATTGTGTGAGGTGGGGTGCATGCCTCAGCCCATGCCCTTACCTCTGTCACCTGCCGTCCTTCCCGGGCCTTCGCTGTTTACTGAAATGCAGCAGTGAACATCCTTCCCACGTCCATGTATCTTACCTTCCTCCCAGAAATTCTAAGTTGTGCATGTTTAAATAAATTTGAGATGCAGCAGGAAGTGGTATGTTATTTGTAGGAATATCCGAATATTTTTCAGTATGAGACTAGACAGAAGTCCCTCCTTTATCTGTTGCAGATAATTTGAAATTGAGGGATGAGGAAAAGAAGCTTCTAGGGGTGGTTATTCTGATTGTTAATTGATTTACTTGAAGAGAAGTTATTCAGGAGTACTGTATTATATTAAATTTTCCTTTCAAAGTATAATATTTTATCTGAAATATTTATCTCAAGAAACTGTCTAGTCATGCCTTTTAATTGCCCTTTATTTATCTCTAGAGGCCTGGTGTACAAACTTTGTGCACTCAGGGAGGGGTGTCTCCTCTGCCCTCTCACAGTCCAGGAGCCCTTGAGGGATGTCCAGCTGATGGCTTAGGCCCTGGAGCAGGCCTAAGCTGGCAGTCGGTCATCCTTAGTGCTACGGCTGAGGCGGCAGAGGCTCCAGCCACCACTGCTGCGCTCGCCAGCCAGCCAGTCAGCCAGCGGTGAGCCCAGCTTCTGGCTGAGCAGCTTTTCCTGTGTTGAGTGTTTGCCCCCTGGTGGTCAGTGTGAATCATAGTAACTAGTTGTTCAGCAGTTTGGTCAATTAGCACATTAGCCTTTTATTATAAGGCATTGAGCCAGAACCGGGATATTTCACTTAAAAAAAAAAAAATATATATATATATATAGATATAGATATAGATATAGATATAGATATAGATATAGATATATAAAATTGATTTTTTACAGAGAGGAAGAGAGAGGGATAGAGAGTTAGAAACATCGATGAGAGAGAGACATTGATCAGCTGCCTCTTGCACACCCTTTACTGGGGATGTGCCTGCAACCAAGGTACATGCCCTTGACCGGAATCGGACCTGGGACCTTTCAGTCCGCAGGCTGACGCTCTATCCACTGAGCCAAACCGGTTTCGGCAGGGATATTTCACTTTTGGTGGTGTTGAGAAGGGCTTTTCTTAGACTGGCATTGGAGAGCATTGAAGGAAGGAATTTTTTTTTTTTATCACCACATTTAACAATTCTAAATATTTTTGTTGTTGTTAATCCTCACCTGATGATATTTTTCCATTGATTTTTTTTTTTTTTTTTAGAGAAAGTGGAAGGGCAGGGGGAGTCAGAGAGAGCAGTATCAATATGAGAGATATATTGATTGGTTGCCTCCCTGCAGGAGGCAAGGAATTGAATCCAAAACCCTTTGATGTGCTGGTCACTGTGAACACCAGCCAAGGCAACAGTTCTCAATAATTTTGAAATACCTCTAAAATGTGCAACATAAAGATAAAATTTCATAATTCAAAAAAAGTGCTGTAAAGATAAAAAGCCATGAACATAATATATAACCAACTGAGACTTGGATATTTCTTATTTCTATTGGTTGATTTTCAATCTAAGTTATACAATTTAAAAATAAATTAGTCTGCCTCCTTTAGCTGATAGAACATGTAATTAATTTCTATTTTTAAAAATATAATGTGTTTGGTAAATGTACTGGAAAGTACCAGTTTCTGCATGTTCACAGGCTGTGAACATGGAGTCTGGAACCAAGCAAACTGGGCTCATCCCAGACCTGCAAACACAGCTCTACAGTTTAGGCAGATTGTGTCTCAGTTTCCTCATCTGTGAAAAGGGGGTGATGATATTACATAGCTCATTAAGTCTGTGGGCTGGTTTAATGTGTTAATAATGTCAAATGCTTAGAACAGTGCCTGGGACATCGGAATGTGCAAGATGCTATTATTATTTTTCTTCTTATTAACTAGAGGCCCGGTGCATGAAATTTGTGCACAAGGGGTGGGTCCTTCAGTCCAACCTGCACCCTCTCCAATCTGGGAGCTCTCAGGGGAGCCCTCTCCAATCAGGGAGTTTGTGTCTGTCTTTGCAGTCATATAAGCAAATTGTCTGAGACCCCAGCCCAGTCTGGTTTGGTGCTCTCAGAATAATAGAAGTCTTTTTTTTTTTTTTTTCTTTGCTCCATTGGTGGAGATTTCCTAGAAGTTGCAGGATGTCTTCCCTTTAATTTTTCCTTGACCCTCTGACTTATGTCCTCACCTTTGCTTTCCCTCCACCCTTTGCCTACAAGTAACTTGCTCCAGGCTCACTCTGCTCTAGTGTCAAGGAGATTCCACAATGCATCTGCCACCAGAACTACGATTCCCAGAGTTCCTGGTGCTCCCCTTGCTCTTGATTTCCACTTCTGGTCCAGGGACTGCAGAAACCAAAAGGACTGCGGACTCCAGCCACCCCCAGGCTGGGCTGATAGGACTGGACACTCCAGTGGCATCCCCGGGACCCTGGCTGCTTGGTGCTGGTGTGTGTGCGTGTGCTGGCCTCAGGCTCGGAGCAGGCAGGGTCCTGGGGGTGCCCACTGTGTCACCCCGGCAATGCAGCAGGAGGGCGGGCACCCAACCCCGTTCCTGGCTCTTGGCTGTTTTGTGCCTGCGTGTGTGAGTGCTGCCCACAGGCCCCCCCATCTTTGTTGGGTTAATTTGCATACTCCTGATTGGCTGTGGGCGTCATGGAGTATGGTCAGTTTACATATTTATGTATTATTAGTATAGATGTTAATGGGACGTAATATATTATTCATTAGTCAATGGGTAGATCATTTCAGAGTTACACACATAATGTTTTTAATGTTAAAACTTTTCAAAAAATTTTTCTTGCTCTGAAATTTATTTCCAAAGATATTTACCCAAATGGTTTTGTTCACTGAGCATATCAGAGTGTGTGCAAACAGTGGTGTGTGTATGTGTTGTGTGTACGTGTACCGTGGATAGAAAACTCGCAGGAACAAAGCCCACAGCAGCTGACATTGCAGACATGCAAACACAAAGGGTTGGGGTGGAGAAACAGCCGCTCTGAGGAGACTGAGGCTGAACTTGTAGTGACTCGTTTTGAGGACAGCACATGAAATGAGGCCCACGTGGACTCCGGTTTTCTTGCCGGGACTTTGCTTAGGATTGTGTGCTGGCGTGTGTTACATTCTCAGAGAGCCAATGAATGATTTTATTGCCCTGACTTATTTTGTTTCCTCTTTCAGAGCACGTATGGCTATGGGGACCTCTTCTCTGACACGTGGAAGGCATTTACTGATTATGACGTGATCCATCTGAAAACCTATGACTCCAAAAGGGTACTAAAAACATTTTTTCATAGATTTTCCCAAAACACAAATTTCACTTGAATGAAATAGTTTGCTATTCAAAAATATTTTAATGTAAAATAGGGGTTAGTTAAAATTCATTTTCTGTAATCATGAGTGCTGTTTTGGTGCGAAGGGTACAGATTGCCTCTTCTTACCTTTTAAAATGCCTTTGTTGGTAGGTGTGTTTTAAGGAAGCGATTTTTTCCCTGCTGCCCCGGATGAGATACGGGCTCTTCTATAATACCCCTCTGGTAAGGGTGCTATCTGTTGCAAACATTCATATTTATAAAACTTATTCTTGATCTTTAAGGTAACATGTGCGTACAACTTGCTATCCTCTGACATAGTAACAGAAATACTCACTGTAATATGCACCATTCTTTTAGATTTCTGGCTGCCACAGCACCGGGCTGTTCCGGGCGTTTTCCCAGCATGTGCTGCACAGACTGAACATCACGCAGGAGGGACCCAAGGTAATGGGTCCACAGCAGGTTCTAGAATGATGCCGCTTCGCTCAATGCCGTTTCCTCATCCCCTGGAGGAGATGCCGCAGGAACCTCATTGGCCTGTGGTACCGCTGCTTCATTAGGTGTCATTTTGCTTAAAGAGATAAGTGAGGACTTACTGCATTTTGGGTTCTGGGCGCGCTTCCCTTTTACCCTGGATAAAAAGCCAGAACCACCGTGGCAGAAAAAGAAGTACTCAGAAGACAAGGTTTTCTGTGTTAATTTCGGAACCTCAGTGTTAGAAGTCAGATGTCTACAGTGTATGAAAGATAAACCAGGGAGAGTGGAAGAGTGTGCCTTCTTTCTCTTCCTTTTGCTGTATTTCCCCATACAGCCCAAATCCCCACCTGAGCCACACAGCCCCTGCTAAAAAATATACCCACCTCCCAGACAGGATGCAATGAGCTGGTTTGTCTTCTGGGGCCAAAGTCGATGCATTTTTATTCCCTGAGAAAACAGTGAAGGGATTAGACTAAAAAAAAATTTTTTTCTTAAGTTCCATAAATGTATCCTTATTGCGTTTCATCTCTTTGTAAAAATCACATTTTAGGTTTAGGTGTTCACTCACCTGTCCAGGAGTAGAAAGCATTGTTTTGCCTTTGCCTTCTGATTACAGGATGGAAAAACTAGAGTCACCATTCTTGCACGGAGCACAGAGTACCGGAAAATACTCAACCAGCAGCAGGTGAGTTTGTGGTGTCATTTTTAATGTCACCACATTGAACTTCACTTCCTCTAACTGGTGTGTTTTATTGTTCACAGTGCATTAAATGTTTTGATTGAACTTATTAGCCTTTAGGAAAGTTTGATGGCTATGCCCAGTTCGTTTATTGGATTTTTACTGAAAGGCACCAAACCACTCGTTAGAGTCCCAAGCTCATTTCAGCTGCATCAACTCATGGATTGTATTTCTCCTTGCCTCAGCCACCAGGCCTGTAGCAGCATGGCTGGGGATATACTCACAGCAGTGAGATTCACTCCCCAAAATGCACTGAGCACCTGCCATGTGCTGGGTCCTGGTTCTGGGTCAGGTGAGAAACAGGGTAGGACCAGGTTACAACAACCCTCCACCCCCGCTATTGTTCATTCCTCAGCCTTGGGGAATGGGTGGTGGTGGGGGGAATGACTGCTCTAGCCACTTCCTGCCAAGAGGGGACAGTGAGTCAGGAAGAGTGCAAGAAAGCACAGTAAATATGGTCACCTAGTGGGGCTGCCCGAATGGTCCCTGACCCAGGCCCGGTGGGACTGGGTTGTCAGCACTGATTTTTCCTGGAAAATGAACTTTTGCTTCTGAAGGTTCCTGAGTTCAGGTTCGGGGCATGTGGCCCTTGGAACCGTGCCCTGGGGACTGTGCGGGTTCACGTGTGTTCCTGGGGAGCTGCCTACCCAGGGTTAACCTTTGGACCTGGGACTGGTTAGACCTGGGAGTGGTCCTGAGGCTGAGCCTCCGGGGCATCATGCACTGGCGCAGAGCAGTGAGGCTCTGGGAGGAGTGGAAGCGGATTGAGACCTGCACCAACAAGGGCCAGCACCGTGTAAGGGCATAGTCAGCAAGGCTTCTATAACTTTCGATGCTGTGCATCTGTGTGTCACAGGCACAGGACACAGATATGGGCATAGGACACAGATACAGGCACAGGACACAGATACAGGCACAGGACACAGGCACAGGCACAGGACACAGATACGGGCACAGTACACAGGCACAGGCACAGGACACAGATATAGGCACAGGACATAGGGTACAGGACACAGGCACAGGCACAGGCACAGGACACAGGCACAGGCACAAGGCACAGATACTCGCACAGTACACAGGCACAGGCACAGGACACAGATATGGGCATAGGACACAGATACAGGCACAGGACACAGACACAGGCACAGGACACAGGCACAGGCACAGGACACAGATATGGGCATAGGACACAGATACAGGCACAGGACACAGACACAGGACACAGATACGGGCACAGGACACAGACACAGGCACAGGCCACAGATACGGGCACAGGCACTGGACACAGACACAGGCACAGGACACAGACACAGGCACAGGCACTGGACACAGATACAGGCACAGGACACAGACACAGGCACAGGCACTGGACACAGATACAGGCACAGGACATAGGGTACATGACACAGATACAGGCACAGGCACAGGCACAGAACACAGATACGTTCATAGGACACAGATACAGGCACAGTCACAGGACACAGATACGTTCATAGGACACAGATACAGGCACAGGACACCGATACAGGCACAGGACACAGATACAGGCACAGGACACAGGCACAGGCACAGGACACATACGGGCACAGGACACAGGCACAGGCACAGGACACAGATACAGGCACAGGACACAGATATGGGCATAGGACACAGACACGGGCATAGGACACAGACACATGCACAGGACACATACGGGCACAGGACACAGGCACAGGCACAGGACACAGACACAGGCACAGGACATAGGGTACATGACACAGATACAGGCACAGGCACAGGCACAGAACACAGATACGTTCATAGGACACAGATACAGGCACAGGACACAGATACAGGCACAGGATACAAATACAGGCACAGGCATAGGACACAGATATAGGCACAGGACATAGGGTACAGGACACAGGGCACAGGCACAGGCACAGGACACAGATACAGGCACAGGACACAGACACAGGGCACAGGGCACACGGCACAAGGCACATGGCATAGGCACAGGAGCAGGCGTTTGTGAAGAGCTGGGAGTCACAGTGTTGGATGAAGGTGGCCTAATTCTCAGGGACATAGGAAACCTCAGCTTTGGTTTTCCTAATAGATTAATTTGCTTTTTTACTTGCTGTTTGCTAAAAGAACAGTTGTTTCTCTGTGTAGAAATATTAAAAATGTCTTTCTGCCAAGAATTTAGTATTTCCAGAGGATGAGGTCCAAAGCGCTAATGGTTTGTCTGAAATGAGAAAATGGATAGCAAGAAAATTCTTAACCTAATGGAACCAGCGGAGGGCCCAGGAACCACAGGCTGGAACTCCAGGGAAAAACTAGCAAATGGCAGGAGTACGAGCTGGCATGCAGCCAGCCTCCCTCCGAGCACTTTGACCCAAGTGGGTTCGGGCAGCCTCAGAACCAGATACTGTGGAACCCAGGGAGTCAGGTGTCCAGGGTCACAGCCCACATGGGAATTCAGTGAACTTTAGAACAATGGACCTGAGGCGTTTAGAACCTGAAAAATATCTTATACTAGAGGCCCAGTGCACAAAATTTGTGCACTAGGAGGAGGTCCCCCTCAGCCCAGCATGTGCCCTCTTGCAGTCCAGGAGCCCTTGGGGGATGTCCGACTGAAGGCATCCCTCTGGCAGTCCGGGACCCCTTGCTCCTTACCACCCACCTGTTCACTACTCCTTACTGCTTGGCTCGCTGCTCCTTAGTGCTGTCACGGAGGTGGGAGAGGCTCCCGTCATTTCTACTGCACTTGCCAGCCATGAGCCCGGCTTCTGGCTGAGCAGACCTCCCCCTGTGGGAGTGCACTGACCATCAGAGGGCAGGAGACATTGAGCATCTGCCCTCTGGTGGTCAGTGTGAGTCATAGTGACCAGTCGTTCTAGCGTTTGGTCAATTTGCATATTAGCCTTTTATTATATAGGAAGAGAAAAAAGAAATTGAGAACTCAAATACAAGTAAAACTGGAGAAGGAAAAGAAATTTCACATGTTTCTGTTGCTTTCATAGCTCGTGAATGCACTGAAAACGGTCTCCACATTTGAAGTCCGGATCGTCGATTACAAATATAAGTAAGTGACCAGCACCCTGGGCAGAGCTGGTGTCTCTGTGCTTGGATGCGTCAGCGGGGAGAGAAGGGTTTCGGACTGGAGTGCTGACCCTCTGGGCTGGAAGGGCAGCGGAGGCCAGCAGTGAGTGAAGTGGGCAGGTGAGGCGGGCACAGGGCGAGTGCTCTGCGCTGCTCCAGGCCTCATGTTGCTACCTAACCATCTCATTTTTCTCTCTTTCTTTAAAAAAATCTTTTTTTGTACAAAGTATTACATAGGCTCCTTTTATCCCCCCATTAACCTCTTCCAGCCTGCTGCTGCCCCCCACCCAAAGCCCTCACCACCCCACTGTCTGTGTCCACGGTTATGAATATATGCCAACTAGTTCATGGGTTGAGCTCTTTCTACCCACTGACCCCACCTTCCCTCTGAGGTTCAACAGTCTGTTCATGCTTCTGTGCCTCTGGGTCTATTTTTAAAAAATACATTTTTATTGATTTTAGAGAAAAAAGGAGAAGGAGAGAGCGGTAGAAACAATGATGAGAGAGAATCATTGATCAGCTGCCTCCTGCATGTCCCTGCTGGGTATGAGCCTGCTACCTGGGCATGTGCCCTTGACTGGAATGAACCCAGGACCCTTCAGTCCGCAGGCCGATGCTCTAACCACTGAGCAAAACCAGCTGGGGCTGATTATATCTATGTTTACAATTTTGTTTATGGCCTGTGTTACTAGTTTTCCACTCAAGACAGCTATAAAGGTTCCTTCTAAGATAAATGCATTTAAGTTTTTTTAAAAGAAATGTTTACTTGGGAGAAATGTAAAATTACTGACTCATTAAGTTATTAAATACTGGAGTAAGGCTTGAAATTGGCAAAAAGATCATGGTGGAATGTGAATTAAATTGGGAAAGACACTTTATAAATATTGTTATTATGAGTCTTGAGCTCAACTGGTCTTAATACTTTGTTCTCTCCATCTGTCTTCTATCTATTCACAGGGAACTTGGGTTTTTAGATCAGCTAAGGATCACCCACAACACGGATATATTTATTGGAATGCATGGAGCTGGTCTTACCCATTTACTCTTCCTTCCGGACTGGGCTGCCGTATTTGAGCTGTGAGTATTTGGGGCGGTTTTGCATTGCTGCAGCTCATGATGCTCTGTCTGCACGCTGAGACTTCCGCTCAGCACATTAAAGGCTAAGCACTAATCATTCCAGGGAAGCCACATCATAGGCATCTGGGAAGAAAAAAGACCTAATACTGAAAAGGAGAAGGCTGCAGCCTGCCATTTCACTTAGCAAGCAAACCACCTGCTCCTCCCTGTCCCAGTGGGAGATGTGAATCTGAATTCTTTTATTTTTTACTATTTTTAAAAAATGTTTATTATAGATGTCCCCCATCCTCCCGCCTCCCCTTTCCTTCCCTTCTCCCTGTCCTACCCCTGTCCCGGCCTTCACCACATTATTGTATGTGTCCCTGGGTTATGCATATGAGCATATAAGTTCTTCGGTTAATCTCTTTCTGCCCTGCCCCTTCCCTCTGAGAATTGTCAGTCTGTTCCATGTTTCTATGTCTCTGGATCTATTTTGTTCATCAGTTTATTTTGTTCATTAGATTCCACATGTGAGTGAGATAATAAGATATTTGTCTTTCTCTGACTGGCTTATTTCACTTAGCACAATACTCTCCAGGACCCTCCATGCTGTCTCAAAGGTTAATGGATTCTTCTTTTTTTTTTTTTACTGCTGCATAGTATTTCATAGTGAAAATGTACCACAGCTTTTTTTATCTACTTGTCTACTGATGGGCACTTAGGGCTGTTTCTAAATCTTAGCTATTGTAAATAACGCTGCTCTGAACATAGGGGTGCATATATTCTTTCTGATTGGTGTTCTAGGATTCTTAGGATATTCCCAGAAGTGGGATCACTATGTCAAAAGACAGTTCCATTTAAAAATTTTTAAAAATGTATTTTATTGATTATTTACAGAGAGGAAGGGAGAGAGATAGAGAGTTAGAAACATCGATGAGAGAGAATCATCGATTAGTCGCCTCCTGCACACTGGGGATGTGCCCGCAACCAAGGTACATGCCCCTAACTGGAATTGTACCTGGGACCCCTCAGTCCACAGGCTGACACTCTATCTACTGAGCCAAACCGGTTTTGGCCCATTTTAAAATTTTTGAGGAAACTCCATACTGTTCTCCACAGTGGCTGCACCAGTCTGCACTCTCACCATCAGTGCACGAGGGTACCCTTTTCCACGTCCTCACCATACTTCTTTATTGATTACCAGAGGCCCAGCGCACGAAATTGTGTATGGGTAGGATCTCTATGCCTAGCCTGTGATCAGGCCATCTCCCGCCTGCTCACCAGTTCCCAGGCCTGTCCCACCGCTTCTCACCCGGTCCCCGTGGGTCCCCGTGGGTCCCCGTTTGCCATGCTGCAGTTGGAGCCTGTGGACTGTGGGGAGGGACCGAGAGGTGGTCATTGCACCTCATAGCGACTGATTGAGTGGTTGTTCTGGTCGTTACACCATTATGGTTGCTGGGCTTTTATTATATAGGATTGGTGTAGCCATTCCTGCAGGTGTGAGGTGATGCCTATTTTAGTTTTTATTTGCATCTTTGATGATAAGTGATCTTGAGCATTTTTCTTTTTTGGTTAATTCTCACCCAAAGATATTTATTTATTTATTAGAGGCCTGGTGCATGAAATTTGTGCAGGGGGTGGGGGATTGTCTCTCAGCCCAGCCTGCACCCTCTCCAATCTAAGACCTCTTGAGGGATGTCTGACTGACCTGGATTGGTCCTAAACGGGCAGTTGGATATCCCTCTCACAATCTAGGACTACTGGCTCCCAACTGCTAGCTTGCCTGCCTTCCTGTGTTACCCAAATATATAACACTTCCAAGGTCACTGACCTGCAGGGGAGGACAGTAGGGGTGACGAGGCCAGCAAGGGAGGGCAGTTGGGGGTGACCAGGCCTACAGAGGAAGGCAGTTGGGGAGGACCCAGGCCTGTAGGAAAGGGCAGTTGGGGGAGAGAGATCAGGCTGGCAGGGGAGGGCAGTTAAGAGCAACCAGTCCAGCAGAGGAGGGCAGTTGGGGGTGAGATCAGGCCAGCAGGGGAGAGCAGTTGGGGGTGAGATTAGGCAAGCAGAGGCAGTTGGGGGTGAGATCAGTCCGGCAGGAGAGGGCAGTTAGGGGTGATCAGGCAGGCAGGCAAAGGCAGTTAGGGGCAATCAGGCAGCCAGGCAGGCAGGCAAGCAGTTGGGAGCCAGCAGTCCTGGATTGTGAGAGGGATCCCAGATTGGAGAGGGTCCAGGCTGGGCTGAGGAACACAGCCCCCTTCCCCCTCATGCACAAACTTTGTGCACCAGGCCTCTGGTAATTAATAAATGAGAATACTCAAATAAACTGTTTTACATACTGACCCCTGTAAGCCTGGGTTGCCCACCTGTAACCCCCCTTAGCCTGTTCCCCGTGCACATGACCTTTTGCAAGAAGCTGTGTGGGAGGTGCATGTTTCCCCAGAGAGCTGTGGGCTGGGCACACACTGCGACACGTCTCACTGTGGCTGCCCGGCCGCAGGTACAACTGCGGGGACCAGCGCTGCTACCTGGACCTGGCCCGGCTCCGCGGTGTCCACTACGTCACCTGGCGCAGGCCCAGCAAGGTCTTCCCGCAGGACAAGGCAAGTGCTTCCCTGCCGTGGGACGTGTGTCCTTGTGAGTGTGAAACACCGCTGTGAACTGCACAGGGAAGTTGTTCTCTGGAACACTGAGCTGTGTCTCATATTAGCAAACTGGAGGAAGAGGGTAGTTATTTGCTCTGTATCTTTAATGTTAACGAGAAATCTTCATGAAATTGGGGCCTAGAAAGGGCTATTCCATCGCATATAAGAGGGATCAGCAGACCGGAGATCAGCAGGCCAAATTTGGTCCCCCACCTGTTTTAACAAATAAAGTTTTATTGGGACACAGCCATGCCCGCTGGCAGCTCGTGCCCTTTGATGGCAGAGTTGAGTCACGTGACAGAGGCTGTGGTCCACAGAGCTGAATATGTGTTCTTTGGACTCTACCAAAAAGTATTCGCTGACTTCCGAGGGAGAGCACACATTAAGTTAGTGGCTTTGGCCAAAGTAAAGTAGTTTCTTCCTGTCAGAAAGCCACGTCCTCCGACTGACAGACGCGTGTTTCGTTTGATTTTCCAGGGCCACCACCCCACTCTGGGGGAGCACCCCAAGTTTACCAACTACTCTTTCGACGTCGAAGAGTTCATGGCCCTCGTCCTGCAGGCCGCAGACCACGTATTGCGACACCCGAAGTGGCCGTGGAGGAGCAGGCGGGACGAGCTGTGACTGCGGCTGTGTGTGTGTGTGTGTGTGTGTGTGTGTGTGTGTGTGTGAGGGGGCCGGGTGGGGGGACTCCCCTCCAGTCCCTCAGCCAGGCGGCCGTGTTCCTCGTGTATCCACCAGCCCCAGGGCTCTCCCTGGGGGCTTTCTACTGTTTCCGGAGACATTCGTGTCACTGCTTTTTGTCGAGATACTCTTTGCACTGAAATGACTTTCTGTAGTTCAGAAACCGGCCATGGCTCGCCAAGGATGGAGCTTTCTTCTTTGCGGACCCAAGACTCAACTTTCTCAGCTACCGAGTCTGTCGCTGGTCCTGGGGGACACTCAGAGGGGGTCATTCTGGGGACGCCAACCTGGTGATGATGTCGTAGTAAATTCACCATGGCCTTTATTTGCCATAATTTATTCAGAGCACTGTTTGTGGTAGGAAAAAGAAGCATGCAGCACCACACCCACACTCACACCCACACACACACCCACTCTCACCCACACACCTACTCACACACACATACTTTCACTCATACTCACACCCATCTCCCCACACACACGTACTCACACACACACACACACACACACACTCACACACCTACACACACTCACATACCCACTTATACCCCCACATGCCCACACTAACACTCCACTCACACCCCCAAACACTCCACTCACACCCCCCCCACACACACACATTCACATACCCACACGCCCACATACACACACTTACATACCCACTCACACTCACACTAACACTCCACTCACACTCCCTACACATTTACACACACACACACACACACACACACACCCCTCAGCCCTCCCCACACGGGTGTGAGTCTCCGGGCTGGGCCATAGGCCGCAGCTGCAGACAGATGTGCTGTAAGCCCATCAGCCTCACTCTGTCCCAGCCCAGACCCGCGCTGATTCCCTGCTGTGTCTTTTCAGCTGCTATCAGGAGCCTGGATGATCCTCTGCTGTGCTAATTTATAGTCACGTATTTCATATGCAAATCAGGCTTCCCAGGATGCACACCGGGACATCTTTGGAACTGCCTGGGCACCTTCCAGCGGGCTTGCATGGCTCCTGCTGGTAGCATGTCTGTCCAGCCCTGGTCTCCGGGGGGCGTTGCAGCCTGTGTGCGTGCCCCATTCTCCCAGGACGTGCTCCGGTATTTGTGCAAGCTGCAGAGAGCCCATGGAGAGTCTTTCCTGTAAAAAGACACGAGTGCATCATCCACTTCAAATGCAAAGTAGCCATCGGAAGTGCTGTCGACGGAGAGCATGTCCGAAGTGTGGCCCATCGGAACGGGACTCATTTCCGACTGTTGGTCAGCTTGCTTTTGCAGTAGAAAAGCATGGGCTTCTCTTACTGGGAAATGTGGTGTTTACATGTTATTAGCATCTGACTTGTCTAATGTAGAGGCTGGTGACTCCTGTTTTTTAAAGTCTTCTTTTAAAATTAGCAGATTACTTTTGTACATTTTAGAGTTATTAAAGAAAAGAATAATGTGTCACAGGGAATGACTGAGCAACCTAACCCAGCTATGAACAAGTCTGCTGCCCCTGCCTTAAAGGGGTAGGAACAGTCTTCTAGAGGTCAGGAATATTTATGAAAATATCTGCAAAAACAATAGTGCCCTGCTGCAGCAGTAGCTTTGATCTGGGTCTTGAAATTGTGTGGAAAGAATGGCAATGTGAGCATAGTGAGTGGAATTGCTGTGTGTTTTGTGCAGGATGCCAAGTCTGGCCGGGAGGGCACGTCAGTCACCGAGGGCATGTCTCCCGGGCGTGGGCCAGGGAAGCCGAGCTCCACCGTGGCAGGAGGGGCTGAGGCAGCGTCGCACTTTCAGTTAGACATCAGCATCGGAAAAGCTATCTTCTTACCTCATTCTAAGGAGCGCGTGGAAATGGGATTCTATTTATTTGCTAGTAATAGACGTGAGAGTTTCAGAAATTGAGAACAATTTTATAATAAAACTATGATATTTGAATATTTTATATTTAAAGAGAGAATATGTTTTATATAAACGAAGTACATTTGACACTATGGAATTAACTTTTATGGTAGCAAAAGAAGCCTTCAAATGTTATAAAATTTACAATGTCATGACTGCTCTTTTTTACTAAATCTTTAAAAGCGATGCATTTCATAGTTTATACATTTGGGGATTTGGGGTATGGCTTTGGAATAAATTTTCATGTATTTCATTTCAATACCAGACCATTTTCAAGGTCTTCTGTGTCTGAATGTTATATGCTTGCTTTTTGGCAACCCACCAAGTCTAGATTATAAAAATTAAGTAGCTTGATGATGGAGAATTCAGTTTAAATAAAAATTATACTTTATATATATATATATATATATATATATATATATATATATATATCTTTAGCAGTTTATTATATGACTAGAGGCCCAGTGCATGAACATTTATGCATTGGAAGGGGAGGGTCCCTCAGCCTGGCCTGCCCCCTCTCACAGTCCGGGAGCCCTCAGGGGTGGGAGGCAACCTGCAATCAGGGGATGGCGATGCCCCATCACATATCTGCTGCTGCCACTGCCGGCAGCGCAAGCCTTGGCTTGCCCTGGTTACCTGAGCCTTGGGCAGCCCTGGGCACTGCCACCTTTGAGGGTGTGGCAATCAATTAGCATATTCCCTCCTTATTGGCTGTGGGTGCCATCATCTTTGAGGGTGTGATGGTCATTAGCATATTCCTTCTTTATTAGATAGGATGCTTTCACAAATGTATTGCACAATCCTTACAAGGATGATATAAGCACTGCCCCCATTTCTCTGGAAGAGAAGCAGATGCTGGTTAGGGGGCTCCCTGAAGATCCAGGGTGAGCCCACACTGCGCTCCGTGCCTTCGCGTGCCCTCAGTGCGATGGGCATCTCAGCGCATGGCTGTGCTGGGTTCCGGAACTCAGTGGGGAGGACGGGGAGGGCTCTCGGGGACGAGGCTGACATTAAACAGCCGAGATAAATACATGTGCGAGGTGCTGATGTGTCTGCAGAAGACACTCAAGCAGGAGGGGTGTGGAGCTCTGAGAGGAGATGGAGTTCTAGAAGCTTCCATGGAGGGCCAGGGAAGTCCCCATTGAGACAAGATTTGCAGGCGGCCATGGAGGAAGCAGTGCAGATAGGTGGCACCATGTGTTCCAGGGGGAGGACCAGCCCAGCGGGAGGCAGGGGCGCGGGCATGACGCCAGAGGAGATGAGGTCCAGGTCATGGGTCCCTGCAGGGCTTTGATGCTGAGGAGGCCTCAGCAGGAGGGTGAGCTGACTGGACAGGGCGCTCAGGCGCTGTGTGGGGAGTAACCAGAGGGATGTCTCCATCCGGTTCTCTGGAACCACCTCTGGGCTGGAGCTGTGGGTGCAGGTTTATGGGGCGCTGCTCACCATCTACACTGTGAGAGGGGAAGGGGCTGGGCTGGCCAAGGGAGGCCTCCGCAGGGGAGGGAGAGCAGGTGGCTCTTCAGAGGGGTCCCACATGAGGAGGGGCCATCCGATCAATGGACCTGAGAAGAGCCATCCCCACGGAGGGCGGTGACCTGCGAGGAGCTGGCTGTGAGCGGCTGGCAGCCAGCACCCCGCACCCCAGTGATGACTGGAGGGCACTCTGGGGCCTGCTGCAGCGCCCTCCAGAGAGGGTAGTGCCATCCAGCTGCTGCCTCTGCCACCCACAGCCCCCACCCACAGCTCTCCCCACCCACAGCTCTCTCCCCCCACAGCCCCCCCCACAGCCCCCCCCACAGCCCCTCCCACAGCCCCCACCCACAGCCCCCCACCCACAGCCCCCACCCACAGCCCCTCACCCACAGCCCCCACCCACAGCCCCCCACCCACAGCCCCCCCACAGCCCCCCACAGCCCCCACCCACAGCCCCCCACCCACAGCCCCCCCCACAGCCCCCCCCCACAGCTTCCCCCGAGACCCACAGCCCCCACCCACAGCCACCCACTCACAGCCCCCACCCACAGTCCCCCCCCCCCACAGCCCCCACCCACAGCTTCCCCCGAGACCCACAGTGAACTTCCCTCACACTGAAGAGGGTCAGAGCCAGTTTGGGGCCATGTGTTCTCTCCCATGTCATTTACTGCTCCCCATCTTTAAAAATACACAATCTGCTCAGCCGGCGTGGCTCAGTGGTTGAGCATTGACTTATGAATGAGAAGGTTATGTTTCGATTCCTGGTCAGGGCCCATGCCCAAGTTTCAGGCTCTATCCTCAGTGGGGTGGGTAGCAGGCAGCTGATCAATGATTCTCTCACATCATTGACTTCTCTCTCTTTCCCTCTCCCTTCCTCCCTGAGATCAATAATCTATAGATAGGCCGTTCTCCTTCTAGATGTTTAAGTAGAGAACAGAGAGATCACACAGCTAGAAGGTAACAGATGGATCGGAGAGAACTTCTTTGTAAAATAATTTAAAGTTCAACGGAAGTTTACAGGGACATAGGAAGGAAGAGAAGGAAAGAGAAGAGAGAATGGTTGGGAAGTAGGAAGCAAAGCAAATAGTCCTGAGTTAGGCCCCTTCCTGGTGTTACAAAGAGTTTTCTCTGAAACAGTCGATGAAGACTTGCTTTTCTGAAACCAGGCTCAGGTAGGCAAATCAGCGCAGGTACGACGGCCTCAGAGAAAGCAGTTGTTTAACCTATTCCCGACCAACAGCTATTGCCAGAGACTTTGATATCTGTCTTCTGTCTTAGCTTATTGGGGCAAATAAAGAATGTCTGAAACACTCCTGCCAGCAAGCAAGTGGCCCGGAGCAGTGCCCAGTCAGCGTGGGCCTTGCTTTGGACGACAATGCGCACTGTGACCGCGAGGTGGCAGTCACGCCCTTCCAGATGCCTCTGCGGCCGGAAACCTGGTGTGATAACCCCCATCGCCAATTCCAGGGACCCGAGCACCTGAGCGAAGCCTGCTTCTGTGTGAAGGGTTCTCTCATCCCTGGTTTGAGGGAAAGTAGGAAGATTATCAGGGAAAAAACTCCCCATTGAAGTGTGACAATCCTTAGCTGCAGCCAATACCTGGGTCCTGCACGCCTGGTGCGGAGAGTTTGAGCCGGAGGCTGATTTCCAGGGGCAGCAGCTGGCAGCGGGTGCGTTTTCATTGAGGCGCAGACCTTTCCGGGGCGGGAGCTTTACTTCAGGGTCATCCATGGCACCTGAGCCCCTCAGCCATGTTCAGGGCTCCTTTCCGTCTTGCATTGGCGTTATGGGTGATTGCATATGCCTGGCTCCTGGGGCCAGCGTTCCTACTCATGCGCCTTGCGGGGTCATGGTCCAGAGGCCCGGCTGGAGCCAGAGGCGGTCTCAGGGGCAGCCAGGCCCTGCACACAGAGAAGAAGGGCCTCACGCACGGAGGCTCTTGGACGGTGACCTGTCAGTGCTCAGCATTC